ACAATTTCGATAATACTACTTTATTCTTTTCTTCACATTCTCTCTTTCTTCTCACACATTCTCTATATATATAATAGCGTGTTAATTTTTGCTTTTTGGCACCGAAAGATCCTGAAGAAAGGTAAGATTTATTAATTATATATAGTATATTAAAACTTTCATAATTTATATTTTATTAATTTTGTAAATTAATAAATATCACTTTATAATAGTCTTCTGAAGGACGTTCAGATTGAATCTGAGATCGGAGATGAAGAGAAACAAGGTATTTTAAATCACTGTATCAATGTCTATAATAATAATAATAATAATAATAATAATATATATATTTTATTGGAATTTATTGGACAGTTCTTAAAAATGTTGGAAAATTGGAAAGATTCATAGTCGACCAAATAAGAAAATTAATTGACGATGATTTAGTGTTTCCTAGCTATTATTCAATTGAATTGTGAATTTGTTTTATAAAATAATCTGATAATAATAGACATTATTAATTCCAATAAATAATCGAAAATATCTGCAATAATATTTAAAATTAATTGCATTTTTTCTAAACATCATATATATTAATAAATACACTTTTTAATTAGCCAATTTTCATTAGCCATCTATAGGTTGTTTCATCTCTGTCTCTAACGGCGGTGTAGTCAATTTCCGTAGGATTGCCATTTATAGACGTTTTCATCTCTGTCTCTAACGACGGTGTAGTCAACTTCCGTAGTATTGCCATCTATAGACGTTTTCATCTCTTTCTCTAACGGCTGTATAGTCAACTTCTGTAGTATTGCTAATCGAAATAAAGTCAAGCATTCAAATATGGTTAATTAAATATTTATCAATTACAATAACATATTTTTTAAAGTGTTATAAAGGAATAAACTTACTATCCAATATGAAAGCAGTTAATCCCCAAATTTCCAGTTCTGGCTCAGAAGAAGATTTAAATACCTGAATAAGATAATTAATTATTTATAAATATAATATTTTAAACCCATTTTCTTTTTTGTTACTTGTATTTACTATTCTAACAATTAATATTAAGAAAACCCTTACCGGATACATAAAATCGGTATTGCCAAGCTTCTTCCACTGTTTCTTTTCCGAATTCAACAATTCATCAATTGTTACAGTGAAAACTTTTTGAACTTCCTCCTCATTATAATTAACCTCACTTCTAACGTTTTCGAAAGGAAATTTAATCAACCCAATAAAGGGGTAAACTTTTAAGGTTTTATCTCTATTTGGCAATGGTGTTGATTGTCCTAATATGTCGATATCTTCAGGTCGAATACCAATTTCTTCTGTAGTCTCGCGAAGAGCTGTGAACACAAGTGAAGGATCTGCGGTTTCTCTTTTTCCACCGGGGAAACTTGTATATTATATGATTTAAGTAATTATTATTATTATTTTTTTTTCATAATTAAATAATTAAGAATTTAATATAAAAAAAATACCTTACTTCTCCATTATGTGTTTTTAGTTTATTACTTCTTACTGTGAATAAAACACTTGGTTCGCCTTGTACGACACAGAATGGCTTTTTAATTTGTATAAAAAAATAATATGCGCATTAGAACGTATTATATAAATCATGCACATTCAAATATAAAAAAAAAAAGTAAAATTTTTGAACCATCAAAACAGCCGCATCTTTAACTTTATTTGTATCATATTTAAATTTTACATGACTTTTACCAACAGAATTTCTTAATCGTGCTCGTATTAATTCTATGGTTTTTTCGTCAAAATCTGGTATCGGTTTAATGGAAGATACGGTTGGATAGATGGCCGTTTTAATTGAAGTGTTAAAAAACTTTGAGCCATATTGCGCCCTCGAAAATTGTGAAATAGATATATTTGGGTTTATGCTTGCATTCTTGAAATTCAGCATTGAATTAAAGTGTTTGATCGAATTTAATGAAGACTTTAACATTTTTTTAGTAAAAAATTGGCTCGTTCGTTCGTAGATGAAAAAAAAGGAGGATTACAATGAATCAAAGTCAAATATGAACACACTATTATATATATAGAGAATGTGTGAGAAGAAAGAGAGAATGTGAAGAAAAGAATAAAGTAGTATTATCGAAATTGT